TGAAAGTCGTAACATTGTGTAAACTACATACATTTGGGTATTGGGTGATGTAAACTACATTAGGGTTTAGGCATTATGAATAAGTGTTCATTTTAATACCCCTATAAATTATAAGTAATGCAACTATCTATGTATCAAATTTGTTATTTGTACGTTACTTATCCCCTTATAATAATAATTTCCTTAGGTATTCGTTATAAAAATGAGATTTTTCTTATCAGAAAAAAATTACCTTTAACGTTCAGATGAAAAAATAAATTACATTTCACATACGAAAATCTCGCGAGACGTAGTACTTATTATTTGAGCATAATCAAAAATGTTCGCATTCCAATGTTATGTCATTTTGTCTTTGTTTAAATAGACGGCATAATAATGGAGATTACATTTTACTCCCAAAAGAATACTGAAACTTGAGACTTGGAATAAATATTATTATATACTTGTAGTTAAACTTTTTTTGCCTTCCTTATGAAAGTCTTTTGATTTAAATATTTAGTTTTTACATAAATAATAAAAATAAAGATAACTTACAAAGTTGTATATTAAATTATAACTGTTTATTAATTTACACTAATATTTAAAAGTCTAGAAAATATGATACATTTATTTTCTCGCTAAGCTATATTTTGTAACATAAAATTTTTCCTTAAGAAATACGCCCATTTCATTAAATAACCGTCAAGATACTCTGAACCCAATAACCATCTGTTAAGATTTATCTGAATGATACGATATCTCATTTCCTGTATAACGAAATACCACATAGTGTGATCTTTCTAATATTATAAATGCGAATATTTGGATGGATGTATAGATGGATGGATGGGTGGATGTTTGTTAGAAGCTATCTCCAGAACGTCTCAATGGATATCGATGAAATTTGGCATGGATGTTGAACATGGTATGGAAGAACACATGGGTTTCTAATAGCCGCACAGAGTCTTTCTAAGTATTTAATTTACTCTGAATAATCACTAACGGTTTCCCTTAGTGACCAATTTACTTTGACAGCTTCAGTAATCTCACTATAAAGCTGTACTTTAATGAATATAAAAACAAAAAAGAATATTCAATCCTGAAGCTTCTTAAGTGAAACATAAACCGCACTATTTATTTTATGTCTAAAAAATACTACGTACTCGTATTTTATTGTTGGATGTGAATGAAACAAGACCCACCACAAAACATTGTGACAACTTCATATATTTTTTTTATACGCTCCATAAACATTCCGACTCCGACCTTTGGCTTAAACATGTTATTTTAACAATTTAGCTGCTTATAAACTTTTATTATTCTTTATAACTATTATTTTCTAAACATTAATAAAGAGAGAACGCCACATCAATACGTTTTTTTTTTTTAATTTAGATACTTTATAAGCCTTAAAATGAAACTGTATTATAATGTAATATTCGCCAACTTTGTGAACAATTTTCAATATCGATGATATTGGAAATATGAAGAAAACTTTCTAACAACGTGAGCATTTTTCAAATTTATTATTTCAAGAAATCTAAAAGGAAAGGAACTTTCGTACGGTTCGCGTTTCGTACCAACGTTTTACCTTATAAAACAATTTATGGGTATCGGTTGGTTGAATGGATTCGTTTTACTATTATTCCGTTTTTTTTTTAACTGAAAGAATCGCAACAATTCGCCTCAAATGAAAAAAAAACTGCGACAAAGATAATAATCACATCCATTCCGACGAACGCAAAACATAAGTATTATGCCATTTTCAATGAGTTAAATACATCTATAGTAGAAATGGATTGACTTGATGCAGGTAAAGCGAAGCGTGGCTTCAAAGTTACAGATTAGCGTAATGTATGCAAACTCTCCAGACGGATTTCAGTTTGAAATCAGAGTGGTTGTGGCTTATCCGATGCTTGTTTATTCAAATTGTTCTGCTCGTTGTTCACTTGAGGTCGTTGATTTTGTAACTAAACCCCGTACCAATATTGAATTAGTTTGTCTGGTATAAATTGGTATAGATTACAAGCACTTTGTTAACGGCTTAAGCAGATTACGCAAAAAGAATAAAAGGATGCCATGTGCTGACAAAATTTTCAAATCATAAACGTATGCTATTAGCATAATATTATAATAAAACGATATTGGATGTAACGCTGATAAAAATATTATAATATTCACGACCATTATACATTAGGGTTATAAGCTTACGTTTTTCTATTTTACATAATTTCGCAACATTCTCAGACACGCTTCTTCAATTGTACAGCGTTCATGTAGGGACGCTGCGACATATAAACTGATCGATTACTAATACTTATTATTCATATTATCTATTAATTTGGTTCATTAGTACATGCGGCGAGAGCACTGATGTAGCGACCAGGAAGTTTTTTATTGTGATACTAAAACATAACTTTTAAACCATATCTTTAGTTCTAAAGAAAAGTTGAGCACAGTTCCTATCAGCACATTGCGCAAATAACATTCGACAACACTATCCTTTGGCATATTCAAAAACTTTGAAGTTATAAATCCAGATGATTAACGTGTAACGCGTAGCGCGCTTGCCCCGCCCATGTCGCTCTAATGACGTGCATTCAAGATGTAAAACGGTCCATTCATCAAAGTGACTTGGTTTAGCGAGGCGAACATAATCGCTCGAAAGACGACTGTAAATTATACCTATATAACGTTTGTTATGTTACATATTTCGTATAATATATTCTTAATCTTAAGTATATTTATAAAAAGATAACATTAGCAAAGTTAAATTTTTCTCGTGTTAAATATGTTGAAATCAGAGCAGACAGCTTATTTATTTTAATAAACTTTTTACCCGACTGACAAAAGGGAAAATTTTTGGCGCCTATGTAAGTTTATTTTATTATGTATATTTAAATTTCTTCTTTCATATTTTTTATTTATCTCTCTAACCTATTTTTTTTTAGAAATAGGTGCGCTTTAAACATAGCTATCTTAAAGAAATCTGGAGCATCGTAAATCGTGCTACAAATGTCACGTTCAGTAGACATTCCACAAGCGATGAAGACTGATTATATCAACTTGAGTGGGCGATTTATCCAGATATTTTAAATTAAGGTAACTTAAAATAAATTTATATAAAACGACGTATAACATTGAGATACCTTAACACGTTGAGGGCCACGTCAGCCATCGGTGGCTGACAATAGACTTTCCGTTTAGGCCGCGTTAGCCATCGGTGGCTGACACTAGATTTTCTGTTTACGATGTTTGAGGAAATTTTATCTGAGCGGGCTAAACGGTAAGAAAAACAAAACAAACTTGGCGCGTAACGTGTTGAAACAAAGCCTATAGGTATAACGTTAAAAATGTAAACTATTTTGACCTGCGTTCGGAAACACGGGCCCTTTAATACCAGTGCGTATAAGCGACGCTCGTGGCCTGAACGGGATCGTCTTAGAAATACGCGTGGCGCTCAACGTGTTAAAATAAAAAAATAGGCATAAAAAGAACTTAAAGGATAAGATAAAGAAAGGTTTGACATTTTGCTAAAAGGCAATGTCCTTTTTTCGTTTTTCATCTTCACCTTCATCAATAACTTCTTACTATAAAGGTGATAAGTTTGTAATACTGATTCATGTTCTTTATATAACATATTTTAATTTAAATATAAGACTCCATATTATTTATTTATATTAGAGATATATATTTCTTTTAAGGTCATTGAGCATAGAACGTCTGACATCTGAGGAATCTTTATTGAGTGTACGAGTTATTCACTGACCTGGATATACCTACTGAATAACTAACTTCAGTTTAATTTAACTCTATAACTTGAAAAATATGTACTTTACAAAACCAATTCGAATTTGTGGTAGTGTCATTTCTTATTGCTTGCTAGATCTCGATGAAATTTGGCATACATAAAGAACATATTCTGGAACAACAAATAGTCTACTAATTATTTTTTTTCTAATTCCGCGCGGACGTAATCGCGGGCGACAGTTTGTATTATTATAAAGACCTAAGATCGGGTGTGCCTTTCGATAAATTATATAAAATTTCACCACAAGCCACAAGTAAATATTTGACCGATATTATCCCAACCCAACGTAGTCTATAAATTCCGTCACGTCGTCCTGATGCGGAGGCACGTTCTCATAGAATCAGATGACGTGATAAAAATCGTAGAAGTTAAGTAAATAAAATTCTTCATGGCATCTGAAACAAACTACACCTCAATAGGATTGGACAAAATAAAATTCATGTTCCATTTTGTTTTCTTAATATGTATTTTAACTCTGTACACAATTTTTTATTTTGTAATTTTACCGCAGTATTAGGGACACTGCATACTAAATGTTAAGAATAAACGGACGACACGACGAAAGACTGAAATGAAACTACAGTTTCACTACAGTTCGCTATTAAGATGGTCCTTTGACTTATTGTTAGTTGTAATAAAACAAGCTATCATCTAATAAATCTGTTGGAGGAAAAATCCGAGCAGTAACCGTTAAAATAATGTTTATGACCATACTAAAAGTCGCTAAATTTACTGCACACAGTCGCTAACGGCCTTGCGCTTCGGCTGTACTCAATTTAAGTTTCCTTTGTAAATCACTAACCGAGAAACATAACCACAAAATGTACTACTAAATAACCTATTACATCTGAAAGTATAAGAATGTGTTACATTACACTACACGACATTTATTATTTTTTAAAGTTTTTTTTTTAATAATTTACTACTGGGAAAAAAAACTAAAAGTAGTTATTTAATATAGAAAGAAAAAATTACTGCAGACTACTTCTGAAAGCTTCTACTAGCCACGCTAATATTGCTATATAATGCTTATTATCTATTTTTTCTCCATTTATTAAATTGTTGATACTTATACCGAATGTTTCCCGTTGGGCCGAGTAGCCTACCGGTCCAATGGCAATTTTTTTCTCATTGTACAGATTCATAGGCTCATCCGCTCAAACGGATAAGTTATCCATTTTTGTATAGGATAATAAAACGACAAATTTATTCTCAAGTTTCTTTAATTTCTGGCTGTAATAAAAACGTATAGTTCATTATTATAAACTTACAATTAATGTTCGACTACATCATTTATATCTTGCTTACATTTAATACGCATCTTAATCAATTAATTTTACTTAGTTATTTTTATCATATTTCCGTAACATCTCGATACTTTCATATAAAACTATGATGCGATCTAAATTCTAAACTCGCGTACAAACTCACATACATAAAAACTTACATACGCCTGAGTTCTCCATAATAGTATCAAATGGGTAATAAAATAAAATACATTTAACATTTTAGAGCGATCATTTTGTATGAGTTAGTCCCGTACACAAGACTACGTGATACACTTCGTATACAACGTAAATCTTCGAAACTGTATTCTTGCGTCGCGAACATCGCGTTGCGTGCGCTTCGTACATACGTTAATAAACGTTGAATCGTCAACTCGAATCGTCTATTCAATCAGAGGGGTTAGACAAAATGTTTAATTACAAAATGACAACTGTATAGATTTGCTCCGCCATCTTGAAAATCACAACAACTTTTCTGATCTTGACATAAAGATTAAAGATAGCGTGCGGCTTAGCGATTAAAATCATTGGCTTAGGAAGATTTATTTAGCCTTGCGCATAAAAGGTCTTTGACAACAAACAATTCATTTCATTTCAAGCAACAAGATTTTATTTGCTACAGACGTAGTATACTTATGCATTAAAAATTACTATGGATAACATAATCTTGATTACATTGTGAACAGTAAAGCGGCAATATTGGCAGTGATTTGTAAACATAAAGCATATTAAAAATAGGCAATCGTCTGTTCCGTTTCGTATATTTTGACGTCGTCCTTTTTCAACACTAATTCGGGCCTGCGAAATAAAAATATCATTAGGAAATATTTCAATGACACTGGTTAACATGTAGCAATATGAGTTAGAAAGAGATAGCATCAGCTATTGTATTAATACTCACAAAGTTATCTGTACAGTCTGTGGTTGTCCTGAAAAAAAAAAACAAAATTAAATTAATATCTCCATTGATATAATATATTTGCACAAAAACTAACCTAACAACTGTCAATAAGAACTCAGAAACTCAAAAGTAGTTTTTGAGTTATCTATAGGGTTCGTAAGCACCTTAATATTTCGAATAGTCCATATATCTATTTTATATATTTACATTCTCTATTCCCACACCAACACTCCCACCCCATTTCCAACGTCCATGCTGGTACTATAACTACGATATCATAAAAGTACCAACTTAAAAATTACGCCAGTATTGAATAATATTTCCATCCCTCTCATTCTCTTGAAAAGGACAGAGATGACAATATTTTTTACAATTATTTATTCGTGTTACATATTATATAAGACATACCATCATTAGGTTGTTGTATGATGACGTCAGAGAAGTATACTTGCTGCGCCTGAACATACTCCTTGCTGTGGTCTACGTAGGGCTCCGTCAGCACCACGGCGCCGGCGGCGGAGTGCGCGCGCCACTTCTCCATCTCACTCTCCTCCTGCATCTTCTGTAATCTCTCCACTTGCTTGTATGTCGGCTCCCCGCCAACGTACGCGCGCTTCGTGCGGTTGTGGTAACGTATCTCGTGCTTTCTCAAGTCAGACCTAATCAAATAATTATAATTTGTAGCAAAGATAATATTGGCCGAATTCATGCCATTCTATAGGATACATAATTTAAAGCAATTTATTACTATTTTTAGATATTATTAGTCAGAATTCTTTGGCGCGAGTAGCGCGCTTTCGTTACAAAGTCAAGTGTCAGTATGACTAGTGAGGGGACATAAACGTCGACATTTTAGTAAGGCTAGTGTTGCGCCAGTACACCGGCACAGTGTCAGATTTTCTTCCTATATTCTCTATATATATTATTATTTTAACTCGCAAGCAATCTTAATATAAACAGATCAAATCCATAAATTAGTTATTGAAAAGTAATTTATTAGTTATTATTAAGATCAGCCATTATGGATACTACTGGACTATAATCCTCAAATCAAATTTGTGTAGTTACACCCATAGTTCCTTATGTCCTCTCATATTTCTTCAATTCAATGTCCTGTTACGGCTAAGGAAATTCCGGGGGAACTGCCGCGCCCTCAGATACTTATCAAGAATAAATAGAGACTGACTTGTATCTGAAGTCACGTCCGCAGTATGCGCAGGTGTGCTTGATGTTCATATGCGTGGCGTCGTGATGTTCGCGCAGTGCACCGTTAGTGCGGAACGCCTTCTCGCACAGCATGCACTGTACAAAATAAATTGTTGACTTACTAAATTGCGCTAATAACAGTTGTTTCTCCTACTAACTACGGCCACATAACTTTTAATTTATGTAATGAGAAATTAAAATATAGTAATAAATATAGCCTATGTCATAAGGGGATAGCTTCCCAACAGTGGAAGGATTTTTCAAATCGGTTCAGTGGATTCAAAGCATATTCAATGCAAACAAACAAATATTTTCTTTTTATTACTTTAGATTATACAGTACAGCAGAAAATGTCAAACCTTTCCTTATCTATTCATATTAATAAAATATCCAGTGTCTATGTACTATCGAAAAAAGAACATTTCGTACTTAGTATAGATAGTGTAGACGAAAGACTAATTTATAAAAATTTTGTTTGTGTATCTGTATGTCTGTATATTCCGGTATGCCAGTAGACAAATATTTATGTCATCTCTAGTCCCATAAATGTTCCACTTACCTTAAATTGTTTCTCCTGGTGTGTGAGCTTATGTTTATTCAAGTTGGAAGGGTTGACGAATGTGGCGGGACAGTGGGCGCACTTGTACGGCTTCTCCCCAGTGTGAGTGCGCATGTGCATCACCAAATAGTACTTGTGCTTGCATTTGTATGGACACAAGTCACAGAAGAAGTTAAACGTGTTTGTATGCACTAGCCTGAAATTGGTTAATTATGAAAATATTACTACAATGAGAATAATATATAATGTACTCTTTGATCCAATTCCAAACAAATTGTGAAATGAACCTTTTAATCTAAGTTAATTGGTATCCAAATTATTATTAATAAGATTCTTGATTTAAAAAGAAAAGGTCAGTGAAAATTATTATTCCGAGAAAAGTGTTTCAGATGTACTAAACAGATTATACTGATAATAAATCCTAGTACACATATTATTTCACTTTTTTTTAATTTATAATTTTTTCTTCTTATGTTATAAAAGACTTACATATGACTTTTAAGTCGTGCTATAATAGGGAACTCCTTGCCGCAGGTTGGGCATTTGTGTGGTACTGATCGCTTGTGTATATGCCGCATGTGCTGGCCGATGCTGAGCACCAGTTGGCCGCACACGTCGCACGCGCGTCGCATGCATTGAGCCTCGCGACGATGCGCTGCTAGGTGCTCCTACAAACAAGCAGTAACCATTATTCTTCCATTACTCAGAAGGGTAAAGTTTTTGTATTTGCATATTTGTGTGTTTGTGTAAATTCTTTGACATAACCATTTGACTAAACCGTGTCACCCCTAGTCAGTTGTGTTTTCAACAAAGAGTTTTTTTTTATTAGACTGCTAAATCTTATACTAAAACAATTTAAATTCTCATTCAGCAAGATTTAAGAAGCATTATGTCTTACTCACCTTAGTTTCAAATACCATATCACATGGAGAACACTTAATCTCTTTTACTTTAGAATGATTTTTCTTCTGTTGCACTCTTTCTTTTCTTTTTCTCTCCCTTTCCCTCTTCTGTTCCATCTTTACTCTTTTCAGTTTCATTTGATGCAAAATTAGTTGAAAATCATGTTTTGAATATGGATAGGAATGAAATAGTGGATCTCCTGTAACAAAGACAATGTATAAAAAGCCCTCTAATTAAAAAATATGTATTGGATGAGATGCTTTAAGATTTAATTTTAAGTTTTTTTTTTATAAAATTCTGTTAGCTAACCTCTTCCTTTCCTAACTTTTATGACATGAAAAAAGGTTAGGGGTTTAAGGTGATGAACTCTCAGGCACAAAATGTGTTAAAACGATGCATATTACTTACCTAATGGATTTAGAATCTTCCTAAATCTTTTATCAGTTGTCTCACATGTATTCTTAAATGTCATGGCAACTTTTAAAGTTTCAAGGCATTCATTACAAATATACTTGGGCAAAGAATCATCAGGACTGATCTGTAAATTGAATAAAATATTTTAATTGCTTTTCTTGCAATAGATAATGGAATCGATATAAAGAAGTATTGATAGTAAGAAATATAAATGTTCCGGAGATTGAAATATGTAGAGTATTTCCTTGAATAAAAAACAAATGAAACTTAATTTCTTTTTTATATTATTAGCTAACAAATTCTACCTAAATGAAATACATAGCAATAAAATTATACTCACAGAAATATTAGTGATACTGCAGAGAGCTCCCATTATATCATAACCATTCAGTTTATTGCTCAGTGGAATTGATCCTCTATTTGCACAAACCCTACATATTGTATCCTTTGCTAGTTGTACTGTAACTTTGCTGAAATTCGATATAACAAACTTTTAGTAATTAGAAAAATATTTCCTTAAAATAATTTCCTTCATAAATATATTAATTTCCGATCGAATTAATTTAACAATAGAACTTCATACCCATCAACAGAAAGCTTTTGCCAAGGATCACCACTACTGCAATCATCTTCGTTATAATCACAAATTGAATATTTCACCTTATTTAACTTCGATAACATTGATTTAGTTAAATAAACAGACATTATTGTTGTATTGTATTAATTAATTTCACAAATTACGGTATTAATTGTGAAGGCACTTATCAATAATTAAGGATAACCGCTAATCCTAGGTGGGGATGTTATTTTGTTGCATTAATGTTCATTGTTATTAAGGCCGAATGAACAAATACTTCCACAACATTATAAATTATATATCTGTCGGTATTGAACCGAAATGTTTATCAACTCGTTTTCCTTTTGACTTTTGTCAAATTTGACAACATAGATAAAAAAATCGAGTTAAAATATAGCTATATTATATCCATTTGAAACTTGAATAAAAAAATTGATTTTACATTTTCTATTGTTTAAATTTAAGTACCTATTATCGAAATTTATTACGATTAGACTTATTTACACTATTGTACTAAGACATTACAGTTTCGGCGTATTCTTTCTCATTTTTGATAGTTTGGGTTATGTGTTTAGCTGTGTCTATTTGTCTGTGAAAGTTAGAAAGCAATTTGTCAATGTCAAAAATAACATTTGACGATTGGATGCAAACATTTCAAATAAATAAATAACAAATAAGATGTTTTTTGTATATGTGATTAGTAAGATAAAATTTTGGATGTAATAAAAATTCCAGATAAGCATTATTTATTACCAATTTTATTTAAAATGACGTCTCTATTAATTTTAAAATCAATGTTATTCGCAAGTTTTGTAAATAAAAGTAAAAGGAAAAAAATATTGAAAAAGAAGAAAATGTAAGTTTTTAAATTATTTAACTATTTTTGCTATACTTGCTCGTAAAACTAACTTTATATTTAGTGGGGAAAATTACCGAAGTTTATTTGTTAATATTATTTATGGTTATGAAGTTTACCAAGTCTTAAATTGACCATAGAAGTCCGTCTTCGTTTCCCTAATAACTTTTGTAGAAGTTTATAGTTTTTGACGCCTTCTATTTTATTTTATTACAGTATTAAGCCAGAAATTAAATTGAAGAAATGTAGAATATGCTACATAGAGAAAGGACATATTCCTATATTTAATAATGAAGCTTATCCAAATATATCAGAAGAAATTAAGCACTTTTCTGGTGTAACAGTGAGTATAAATATCTTGAAATAATTTTGAACAAGAATAGTATTCTCATTAATTACACTGATATCACAATTCTCACTTTTTTTAACAATAAGTTTCTATAAGTATACAATATTTTTAGTAACTACATATTGATTGCACCTATTTTTAGATAAACCATGATGATAATTTACCAAAGCATTTGTGTCAAGGTTGTATGGATCTATTGAATGGATGTATTAAATTCCGTGATATGTGCCAAAAAAATAATAAATTACAAATAGAACAGTCAATTAAGAAAGGTAAGCAAAAACTGGTTATTAACTAAATTATTCAATATCTTGATCCTTAATTTTTCCATCCTACAATTTGCTACTAATATAGTAAAAACATATGCATATAATCTCTGTTACAGAATATAACATCTATAATAATGAAACTAATAATTTATTGGATTATGAGGATTTCTGTGATATGCCATCACCTGTAGTGTCTGAAGACAATTCAGAAATTTGGGACTGTTCAACATGTAGTCAAAAGTTTTACGATATGGTTAGTTGTTAGCTTCTTCACTAAATAATGCAATAGATATTCTTAACATTTACATTTATTTATGCTTTTTAAAATATGTTTTTCAGACTTCATACAATAACCATTTAAATAAATGTACATCACAAGTAACTGATGATCCAAAAGAGAATGGTCAAGCTAAAAATAAAACATTTTTATGTGATATCTGCGGTAAAATAGCTAAATCCAAAGGGAGTCTTGCAGTACATAGGTAATGTAGTCTAAAAAAACTACTTTTACCACACCATGGTAGTTCAAAATCAAAGCATTTGTTGTTTTTTATTTAAAAATAATTTTATGCACTACTTCCCTATATTATCTGTGTCAAATTAAAGTTCCTTCAGTGGCATAATTTTTTCAAAAGTGATAATATTGTTTTTAAATATTTGGTTGGTGGCTCAAAATCATTTACCCTCCCCCGGCATCCAGCTATGCAACGCTACAAAAAAAAATTGTTTTGCGCAATATAATTAATGACAATTAATTTACCAGGGCTATCCATGAAAATGTGTTTCCATTTAAATGCGATGCATGTTCATATCAGGGTCGGACAATGGACTTACTAAAAGTGCACAAGAGGTCACATTTAGCAGACAAACCTTACAAATGTTCTCAATGTCCCAAAGCAACAACCACAACTAGTAATCTAGCTAAACATATGCGCCATGTTCACAGTACCAACAGACCATATAAGGTATGTTATTTTTTTAATTTGGTGAAGCTTATAACATCATGAGGCCCTATACCTTTAAACCTATCGTTTTACTACTGACTTAATATGTTCCTGTTATTTGTAGTTTATATATATGTTTAACGAATCCCCAACATTATATGCATAACATATAAATACAGTAAAACTTTGATAAGGGATATCTCTATAAGGGAGAGCCATGTCTGGTCCCAACGGCCACCAGGGAGGAACTTGCGTTACAGAGAAAACCTCTTTAAGTGAAAAGAATGTCGAGATCCGTGCGACTCTCGTTTATCCAGGCTCGACTGTATTCCGTAATGTGTTGTACAAGACATTAGTAACAAAATACAATCTTTTAACATTTCTTGTGCTAGTGTAATTTTCCTTTAAAAGTGAAGTCACCAGGTGAGTCGGTGGCATTTAGAATGTGATGCCTTGACTGTATCAATTGTTTTCCAGTGTAGCTATTGTGATAAGGCTTTCTCGTACCAACATGACATGAAGAGGCATGTCAAAGACATACATTTAAGACAGGGCAGAGTTGAATGTGATGTATGTTTTAAGAAATTCAACACAAAGTAAGTTATCATACTTTTTTTTTAAATAGATGGCATTTGTTTCAAACATTTTCTCAATTTTGCAAAATAATCTTTATAAATAAATCAAATGTCTTTGTATTGAGCTTTATTTTTTTCCTTATGAAGGAAGCCTCAAAAAATATTTAGTAATGAATGCTAATGAAATATTTTGTAGTGTTATCATCCCTTACCCTTGATTTGGTAAAATCAAGCTCCTTTGTAATCTACCATAAATGAGTTTACAAAAGAAAATGTGCAATAATAGTAATTTTTACTTTTACAGAAAAATTTTACAAGGTCACAGATGGAAGATACACAAAATAAAAGGAGGTAAACTCGGTCGAATACCTTCATATTTACAATGCAAAGAGTATGAAGAAAATGGTAACACCATTATGCCACTAAGTAATTAAATCACTAACATATTAAATGTTAACGCCCTCGCGCAATTTATTTATTTCATAGATTAAGCAAAAAAAACGACTGATAAATATAAAATATTGTATAAATAAATAGTTTTATTTATGTGATTACATTGTAAAGAAAATTAATTTTATTGCAATGCCGTATTTGTCTTATCTCACAGTTCACAGCAGGACAATAGCATCCCATTAAAAATAATAGATCGCCATTAAGTTGTTTGTAATGTATTCCTATAATTATTTTTAACTGAGATCTTCAGTAGTGTAGAAGTCTGCAAAAAAATATTTCAATATAATAAAATACAGACGAATTGATAAACACCTTTTTAAAGTCGGCTAAAAATGAAGTTATTCATATTATTACTGGTAACAAAAGCATGTTTATGTTTCGATGTACCCGCAACAAGTTGCAAATCTGACTTGAGCATAGACAACGACAAATATAATGTTTCGGAAACTTACCATACTGATGGTGGATATCCAACTGATGCCCATTTTGATGACGACGGAAACATATTCTATATCGAAGCTGGCAGCAATTTTAATGGATATTATTTTAACGCACGAATAATACCGCTGAACTCGACCACCCCACAAAACATTCCAGGTAATTTACCTTATATTTTTTATGAGCTACCCAAGATTTTTTTAATTCTTTTGTGTGAGACATTTAAAGCAGCGCATTTATTCCATTGTTATTTTTTATATCAGTAAGGCGGCAAACAAGCAAACGGGTTACTTATAATTAAGTGACGGCGCTCAAGTTGATGTCTTTTCTCATCCTTTACCTCCGACACCACAATCGCGGATCTCCAGTTAGTAGGAGTAGCAACTTACTCATGAGGCTTAGTAGTAGGGTATAGTTATAATTAAACTCAACCAGGAATCCGGACCCGCGCTACTTGATAAATACATTTAAATAAGTCGCATACATTTTTTTTACGAATTACCCATTAAAAAATATTGTTTATTTATAAAAGGCCAACAATGCATGATTGCTATTACATTCCGTCTACGCAATGCGGTTACACGCGCGGAATTTTATTATAATATTTCTCTATTGTAAATGTACCAGAGCAATTAAAAAAAGTAGGTTTGGTATGTGCGGTATACTTTCGGTGATTCTCGAATATAATTTTTAATAAATATGTGCTTGCTAGGTCTTCCAGAAGGCGTAAGCTACTCCATCGCAATCGACAAAAATAATAAGAAAGTATATTTCAGTACAGGCGATGGCATTTTTTCTTATGATTACGAAACACAAAAGGCCACATTAATGTCAAAACCGAATGCAAAATTTAACATGATTTCTATAGATAAAGATGGGAACAAATATGTGACGAAAAATGTTGATGGAATTGAAGAAGTATATCTCTTAGTAGGTGAAAGCAAAATCCGCTTCAAAACACTCGAAGCACTGGACGAAATGGCTATAGACAATAAAAATAATTTTTATTTCATCAGAGACGAGAAACTATTTGTTTTAAAATCCACATTGTCATTGCCCATTGTTCTTGGCAATGTAACATATGATGGAATGGCACAGATATCGTTTTATGAGGAAAGAGTGTTTGTAGCCAGCAATAACTTAACATATTTTCATGAAAACGACACAAGGTTTATGAAAATAATAAATAACATACCAGAGAAGGTTTCAGCGATTGCTTTTGATAAGGATGGTAATTTTGTACTTGGACTGCTTGGTAAATTATTGCATTACAAAAAGCATCAATGCTATTTAAGAAAAAACTAAAAAAAATTCATCATCATAAGCTTTGGTTTGCCCACTGTTAATCATATGCCTTCTCTATGACTTTTAATGGTATATGACTTATAAATAAACTAATTTTTATTCCTTATTATTTTATTAATAAAAATAAATTACCTAATTCAAAGGTACAGCATAAACCAGCAGCGCTTAAGATGGCATTTACGTGATAACAGGCAAAACAATCACAATTTGTATAGTACTTATCAATGCATCTATGAGGTGAATCATTTTTCTTATTATAATAATTATTTTATTACTGTAAAGAGTGATTTGACACACAGAAACAAGTTTAAAAGCTCAGTGCCTACTTACAAATAACCAGTATTCATTTAAAATATCTCCAACAAATACTGTAATACACTATTCCACAATTTAATACTGTAATATGTTTAATATGATCATAATTAAACTGGTAGTTATTACAATAATGGAGTGCATCAGATCCTTAACATATAACAATTCATGACAAATAAAGAAATAGTATGTTTATCTAAGTTTTGTTTCATTTACCACTAAAAGAAAATTCATCTTGCTTTTAATATTTGAATCAGAAAAATGTCTATGATATTAAGCTAATGTTATATTTAATGATTATATTAGTCACAAATCCTTATACAATTCCACACTTCTAGGCTAAAGATACTGCCAAGAGTAACTTATATTCTCAATGGGGCAAAATGCTTTGAGATATGATTGGAAATGTCATAGGCTGAGTTTGAGAATTTGTTAAAGCCATTGGTTGACTACTGCTGGAAATTGTTATTTGTTGAGTAGATGTTTGGTGCACTAATTGCTGCCCAGAGGGAACTAACTGTTGTTGAGCAGATTGTTGAGCTGCCATTTGTTGAGCTGACTGTTGGGCTACAGCTAACTGTTGCGCTGACTGCTGAGCGGCTGCAGCAAGATGTTGAGCAGATTGTTGAGCCGCTGCTAAATGCTGAGCAGACTGTTGAGCGGCTAAATGCTGGGCAGATTGTTGTGCAGCCAGTTGGGCTGACTGCTGTGCAGCTAAATGTTGAGCAGATTGTTGCACAGCTAAATGCTGAGCAGACTGTTGAGCTGCCAAATGCTGAACAGATTGCTGTGCTGCTGCATACTGTGATGCTTGATGTTGTGGTGCCAGCTGTGATTGTAATGCAGATTGCTGGACAAGCTGTTGAACAGCAGTTTGAGGGCCGTTGCCCATTAATTGTTGTGTGGGTGGGGCTAAAGTCAATTGTGCTGGTGTCACTGCAACAACAGTCTGACCCCCGCCCATTAAAGTGCCAGAGTCACTGACTTGCATAAGCTGTTGTGCTCCTGCGCTAGTCACAATCAATGCTCCGGAATTGCCCATTAATTGCTGAGTTGTGCTCACTGTAAGTATTTGCGGTGCTGGAGTTAGAAGTTGTGCACGAGATGCTGCTGGTGCCAATGTTAAATTAGGTGTTGCTGCAGCTGGAACCAAAGTGGGCAGTGCTCCAGCTAAACTCACCACTGGGGTCACACTGACAGTTGCCAATGACACAGGTGCTGAAGTTCCATGTCTAGATGTGATCACACATGGTTGGTTATTTCTTACTGAATTTTGCTCAAGTAAGAACTCATTCATGGAAGTCAATTGCACATTCTTTTCAGTCAAATCAGCTACTTTTGTCAATAAAACACTAATATTATCATGCAATAATTTGACCTTATGATTCAAAGCTTCACAATTGTTGCATATATTTGATGGTGACAAAACTTGTTTGTCAAGTGTGGCTTCTTCATAAGCAAATCGTCTAAATTTAGCCTCTGGAGGTGAATCGTCATCTCTAATATTAGGTGGGGGGCGATTAAATGATGGAGGTGGGGCATTTAATATAGGAACTGTCTCATTACCAACTACTTCTGGGTGAATTAGCTTGCAATCTTGATTAGGACATGTTCCATGTATATAATTTAAGCAGACCGGTATTATGTTACGAGGATCGCGTGGAAATGTTCCTGTTGCATAAAAATGTTCTTCTTCTTCCACAGAACTATGGACAAATTTGCAATTCGCTCGGAAACATCCTTTGTTTTGGAAATCATGACAGAAACGAAATAACTCTTTTAAGCGAGCTTTCGGTGGTAGTTCGTGTAAATATCTACAATTTTCTCTTAAGCAAAATCCTCTGATAAAATTTCTACAATATCTGTTTAGGCTTGGAGCAGGATTATCAACATCATCTGACAAACTCATCGCACCGTCGGGAATCGAAACGCTTTTGCCAATCATCACTTACTTTATTTCATAGGACAATATCACTTCGTTGAACTGATTCAGACTTATTTGCCTCCATTGTTATCCTCAATTACAGTTAAGGGATAATTTACCTTGTCTTGAATAATTTTCCATAAAAATTCCATTACATTGTAAATTAAAGTAGGAACTCTACATTTTATTTGAAAATATCTTCTGTCTTAGATAATTAGCACTGACTTAACAAAAAGATAAATTTCCTTAATATTACTCTTAAGAAGTCTACAACTACTAGACTGTGTTCATTTAAAATACATAGCAAAGTTACATAGAAGTTAGCACTTCGTTTTTTCACTGTCTTTGATTGATTTGAGTCTCTTTTCTCACGTTATCGTTATGGTAGCGTTTTCCTTTTTCGATGTATTGAAAACATTGACTTCTTGAATATTTAAAATCAAATCATTAGTTTTGTTTAAAAACGAACAGTTGTGTGTATATATCGTTGAAAGCTTTATGGTTAACAAATAGTTAATTCAAATTATTCGAAAAAATAATTTAAATTAGCATTTTTAAATTTAAAGCCTAAAAATATAACAACCAAACAAAAACATGAGGGCTCCACAATCTCTATTGATATTGCAACACTTTTCATCCTTGTCAAAACATGTAACAAACTACTGTTATGTAAAAATAAATTTAGTATTTTATATTTATTATCATACGTTAAATGCCTAACATTTTTTCTTTACTCAAAAATTACACCGCAATCACAGTAAAATACTTTAATAACTGGAAGACAATCAACAATGTAAAACTAAAATGGTAATAAAAGAATATTTCTTTAAAGAATATAAATAAATGTTTGATCATGTTTATTGCCATTAGAAAACATTAGTTTCGTTCGTAGATTTTTCGCAAATTGGTAGATTTATTTTCTGGGTACCTTATCTAACCAATCCCCTTATTCTGCTTTCATTTTAACTTTTTTTCTGGTCAACCATCAAGTCAACATTACTTAAAGGTCTACTGGCTATACTCTGTGACAAAAAAATAAAAAGTTACAATTTTAATCACAATTTATACTCTTTGATTTGAGTATGATGGTGACTTGTTTGTGTGAAAATAATGTTCGTGATAAATATTTTAAAATCAATAATTAGTATATGTGATTTCTTATAATAAAGTGTATTTTTTGTTCAAAAATCAAAGATTCTCATAAAATAATGTAATCAACAAATAGAAGGTGAAACTGTTACATGGGTGTAAAGTTTTATGATGTTACACAAACATCATGTTATTTTTTATAAATTTCTTTACCGATTCTAACAGTTATTAGTTTACCTAGAAGTTAAAAACATGTTTAAACAACAACTATCTCCAAGAACTATTCATCCTTACCAAACTACTATGGTACCTCGAAGTGAACAGCAATTTTCATCTGCATCACAACAAAGAATAAAATACCCGTGGACTGAAGACACGCCTATTTATGAAGTCGCTGCAGCGGACAGTTCAACGTCTGATACTGCTTACCATGTAAGTTCGTGTCGCACGAATGACGATGAATGCTGGGTGATTATTTTATAAAACAATAAATTGTTACATGTTCAATTTTCAGCTTCCACATTATTATAATGGAACTCTAAGGGAGTACGGTCCACCATCACCAGTCTATCAAACTCCTTATAGCACAGCTACGGGTACCTGGCGCAACTATAGACGAGGAGAGAAAGTGCCAGTTCATAACGTAGATACTTACGCGTTCCCTCCCTGTGCTTCATCATTTTCCCTGCAGCTATGTGAAGCAGATTCACGTACACATCCTGTAAATCGATCCCCGATCCCATCAATGCCATCCGTTAGTCCAGAAGTTCCTATAATTGGTGCCTGTGGAGGACACTGTCCTGGATTTGAATATGTATGCTACTACATTTTACAAGTTAGTATTTTTTTCTTTATTATCATGTTCACATTATCATTGCCTATTCAAAGGTTTTTCTATTTATTGTATTCTATTTTCTATCATTTGTAAAAATTTGGTTAGTATATACCCAGTTCCTAGTGTTTACAAAAATATGTATTTAATAATTCATTTTAAAAGAATGTAATTTCTATCTACCTTTTGTTTCAGGTTATATTTGTTGTGGGCATATTAACTGGAATCTCTTTATGTATAGCTGGCATTGTGTTGAGACGCACAAACCGCAATGGTGATCTCGGAGTATTAGTTTATATTGGTAAGTAAATATGTTAAAATTTCAATATTGTTAAGAGATTTGATTTTCTCTTATGGATGCATTGTTAGTCTTTGGGTAGAAAATTGAGCAAGAGTATATATAAGAAAGGAGAAAACGCCCCACCTCACAGTATCAAAGAAATTATATATATGCAATTAAGAATACTGTATTCCAGTCAACTATCATTCTTTAGCTTATTTTTATCATGTGGTATACAATAGTGCTCTTATTCACTATGTGCTAATTATTTTGGTTACTAATGTATGTTTGCAGGTTGCCTGGCGTCGTGTGTGTGCGGCGTGCTGCTAGGTGTGCAGTGCTGCGTGCGCCGTGAGATGCGCCAGCGCAAGCTACGAGCCAATATGCATATACCAATGCAATCTATACAGGTAAGTAAACTCAGGGACATTTTTTAACATTTTGTTTTGAAGAATTAATGATTTTTTTACCATTACGTCTCATCATGTAACAGGAGTATTACTGTGTGTAGTTTATTAGAAATAATTGGCTTTTGAACTTACAGGAAGCACCAGCCGTAGCTTGCCCTTTGATAACATCCTCAACATTACCTCATAGCCGTGTATACAGGTCAGTATGATAACTAAATATTTACGTGGCACAAAGATTTATGAATAATTTCACAGTGGTAGAGCCCGCTTTAACATCTTCGCACGAATCGGCCCGGCTCGACCGGTGAAATACCACGACCACATAGAAGACAGGCGTGAAGTGGAAGCAATTCCGCGTTTCGTCTGATGAGTGTGCGTCCTGGAGGCCTAATTCAGCCATCTTTTCCTTCCCATCCTTTTCTTTATAAGGAAAGAATGGGAAGTGGAAGTGGACTTTCCGGATGTGAGGATGCATGGAAAGGGAAGATATTTTCTTTCTGTGCATCCTCTCCTCCGTCGATTTAAGGTAGGCAACGCATGTGCAATTGCGTATGTCTATGGGCAACGGTCACTTCGCTATTTCAGTGATTTCAGGTGGCCGCTGGCTCGTTTGCCACCTTTTGATATAAAAAAAAATTCACCAGAAAGGCGACATTTTCTATTATCTGTACCATTAATTAAAAATTAAAAATTTTATTATAAGATATTTGTGTCTGTTTTTGTTAGGCCGACAGTGAACGTGTGCGAGGACGGCGACGTGACAGGAGTTCCTTGGTGGCGGCGCACTGCTACAGACTGATTAGCTTTAAGAATATTATATTATGATGTATTTACAAATTAATACTATTAACTTTTTTATTTTCTGTGTCCAAATAATAAAAACAATGATCTTATAATAAATGCTTTGTAAATGTATTTGTTTAGTTTCTCTTTTAATTATACCAAATTTTTTTTTGAAAAAGATCATGGATGTGACGGAGAGTTTATGAAGAATGCTACGATAAAAATTAAAAATAAAACAAACCACTTACACATATACTCCTTACAGAATTTTATTAGAGATACAGACAGATACAGAAGATTATATTAAGTACATATAAATAAAAAATGTACTTCAAGTACTAAAAATAAATTATAAATATAATTATTTGTAAATGAAAAAATAACGCGCACATTATATTGATTCACGCTTACAACATTGTAAAATATGGTTATTCTAAATAAAAGGAACATAAAAAAAATCTTATAAAAATGAATCGAATAAGAAATAAAGTTTCAGCATTTTACTTAAAATTGTATAACTGCAGCTTATAACTATGTTTCTCTTATCTAGAATCAAATTATTTACATACAATAAATTTCCATTCAAATTGTACGATTTATAATTTTAATACGATTGTTATGATTGATTACATTGTTTGTTTAGCTTTAAATAATTCGTTTTGCAAATATTAAAGAGAGCTTTAAAATAAAATAATATCAATCCAAAATCCTATTATTTCTATAAAATTAAATGCCATGGAATCCAACTACTTGGACATCACCCTATTATGAAGGGCTTAGCTCACAAATCTGGACGACTTAAATCTAAAAAGGACGGTGTCAACATAAAATATTGTACATAAAACATAAATCAAGAAACATATAAGACGACACGACTAAAAATACCACTTAAAGTAAAAGTTTTGCAAAAAGCAAACAATTTTTTTTAAAGCAAAATTTAATTTTTCTAAACCTAATGTGTAATCAAAGAAATCAACACAAACATTCTTGAGCCGAATATAGTCTCAGTATAAAAAAGCTAACGACCGGTACACGCAAAAAAAATAGCAAAATAATCTGGGGCAAATCCTATTGCCCCGTATTTTATTTGCGTTATACGCAGCCACTTATGCTATTTGACGACTCAATATTTTTAGGTGATCTACATTTATTGCTTTACATTCGCCTATTATTTTAATATCCTTAAAAACTTACAAACACCAGTAAGCGATTTAAAAGACAAAATAGATACAAAATTTTTGATTAAACTGATTTATGTATCTTGAGGCGATTACTACTGAAAAATACAGCAAAAGCAGTGTTTTAAAAAGTTACATATTTATAGTAACTTTCCAACACAACGCAGTTTAATAAATTGCTTTACTCGAAATAAAAAGAAACGAGAGATACACGAATATGGGAATTAAAATCCTAAAAATATGGACGATAATTTGGCCACATGTCTTTACTAAATCACATGTACATATATTAATGAAACTTATTTTAACCTTAAAATACGGATTAATAGAATAAAATGCCTTAGGGATGTAGACATTATTTGAGACATACGAGTAAAATAGAAATGAAATAGTTATTGAGAGTGTAATTTAGAACACGGTCAAAGTATGACAGAAAATAATTCGATTCGAATGTTTTCGATTTAAAAGTCGATTGTATCAAGGTACATTCATAAAATATTTTATCACGCAATAAAACCACAAGTTTTCGAACATTGCCATATTTCTCGTATTACTTTTGTACCTTGAAATGTTCCATTGAGACAGGATACATGCAGAAATTGAAACGCTTAATAGTAATAGCGCCCCCTACAGGGTAGCCATATAAATTGTAAAGTTAGGATGCGTTCAAAAACAGCATCAAAATGGGTTACCACGAAAATATTTTCTATGCTTATGAATATTTTATGTAACAGGGTTTATCTTTCGAACACGTTGACGAATAGGGGGACAGAAATATAACCAGGGCTTGCCTGAGGTTTTTTTTATCAGTATCTTACGCCACTGAAGGCCGGCCATCCAACATCTTATCGCTTTCTTCTGCGCTGCTTAAGCTGAAAACAAAGAATAACTGGTTTAATACTATTTTAAAATTATGTAAAACGAATATCCTTTAACTCGTTGATATTCTTTAGTTGTTTCTCTAAATCATTTCTAAGGTTTTAAGCACAAGGAGGCATCCGTCAAGCAACCTACCGTGAAATATTAAAATAAATAAGTACCTCTTTGTTACGCTTTGAATCACCGGAACGTATTAATTGGTTCCGAAGTCAGACAATTAACAAGATTTGTATAAACAGTTTAGCATAAGGTTGACTCGGTGTTCGCTCGATGCGAATACAAGTAAAACTTATGTAAACACGTAAAGACAAAGGCATACCTTGTGTGAACTATTAACACCTGCCTTGAGCTGACAGAGCGGCCACAATAGAGCGCCGGGTATTGTGTCGACGTGTACCAACAACTCGGATTCATATCACATGTATTTATGCTACATACGTTCGTGTAAATAAAAGATCACTCGATGACAATGAGCGGAAATCGTTACCCGCCGCCCTCAACTGGCCTAACACCCGATTGATTTTTGATTACAAGCACCAAGTGGCGATAAAGTGAAATGTATCTAGTCAGGTCTCATATACATCAAAAATTACACTATGATTTTTAGGTTTACAATTGTCGAATTGTAGTAATTTAAAAAAAGTTAAAAAATTCCGTAGTTCTCGAATATAATTTTGGAGTAATGCGTTGGCATTAAAAGAACGGCTATATTGTATAAAGCAGCGTTTAAAGTAAAGGCTTGAAAACAGCTGTGCATTTCAAAATCCAACATGGAAAAGGTCAGCTTAATTCTATTTTTAACTTAACTCCCGCGCCCCGAGCTCTGTTTGTCGACGTCGCCCTCGACGCGCACGACCTCATATTTTGTTATTACAAATTTTAATTATTTTACTTTGTGACTTAATTTTTTTTTATTTCACAAACAATTTACTTAAATGTGTTGTTAGTCACAAGTTTTCCGACCAACCAACATATTCGGACTTCTCATACAGAACTTCTTTATACTAAGCTTTTTTGACCCGGTCTAAAGTTATTTTCGTAGTATTGGATAGAACGTGAATAACGTACTAAAGCGATAAAAACTTTGAATTAACGAACGATTTGTAAGAATATATAAAACATTAAATTAATCTCACAAATTTAATTGTTCACTTTATCACGCGTTTTATAACCTAGTGAAATCATTGGAACATAAATTACGCTCGATAATCCAATCATCAAAAGTGGCAATTGCGACAAATCTTATTAGCTCGTGATCGTACTGCGTAATGCAGTCCATAAGATTACCTACTATGAAAATGTCCTGTCACTTTTTGAGAAATGTTTATAATACCTATGTCAATCATATATGCTATTTCATGAACAATAAGCCGAGAATAACTCAGACGACGTAATGTTACAAGATCTGTACCTCGGAACCAAATAAGGTAACTGTCTAGAACAAATAATTTGTATTAAAGTATAGCGAATAAACATACATATTGGAAGGGATCAACAATTCATTGATCATTTTATTATACGCACCATTCCTTGTTGTCCATGAGATTGCGCATCTCATCGTCGGGCGCAGGTGGGGCATCACGCACGGGCGCGTACTGTGCTGCCACTAGTGGGTCTGTTGAAGGGTTGAGCGCGGTGAGTGCTGCCGCGCCACTGGCTGGAGCCTCCTTGCCGCCACCCCATCTAGCCGACCAGGCCCAGCCACCGACACCTAGAAACAAACACATGTTTACCCTGACTTGTCAAATTAGAAGTCTGAATTGATGGTCCATGAACAATCTCTTAGAGACAAATTGCGCAGATTTTATAAGAGTAAAGTCGTTATTCTAGAACACTCCGACGTTAACCGACATCTCGAGAGCTTAAGATGATTTCGACCTTAGATTATCGAGCACATATAATCGAGTGTCATTGGGAGGCTGATCCACTTTATCGAAACGACGCAATTAAAGCGCAGTTTATATAGTGCTTGTAAAGTTTTATGCACGTTTAGATGAAGGTTATACTCAATATACTTGCGTTCCATCATAACCTACTTTTCAATTTATTTCGTCATCATCCTTTGTCTGCCACTGATGAACTCAGACCTTCCCCAAGGGATATTACATACAACAATTGTAACTAAACTATTTAAGTCTCAAGGCATTGTGTTAGTGTAAGCAGCTTGAACGTATGTTTTGTAGAAGTTTAAACAGTTCAGGTATTCATAGTTAACAAGTATACTTATAGATGTCGTTGGTCGTCTTTTGAAACTCTTAAACACTCGTCAACGTCAAACGTTTTAAAACACGCTATAGTTTAAATGCGTCTAAAAAGTAGACTATCTGTTGTAAAAATGGGCAAAATGTGTTACTTTCACTGTGATAAAAAAATCGAATTATTGATTTGCCTTTGAAGAAACATCATGTCGACCTCTGAGTACAATAACCGAATAATCCAGACCACAAAGCAATCGGATTAGTAGTAGGCGGGTCGCCTACATATTTCCGTTCACTGCCCACTATTGTGATTAGCCCAGTAGAGACCGCAGTCAATAACGCATAACCTATATTAGTCTACCAGCAGTCAGAGTGTTTAATTGGTACTAAGGGAATCTTTGTGTAGAGTTCTCATACTAAGTCTACACTAATTAAGACCACATAATGACTGAGTGCAACAGTGAAAGCCGTTTGTGTCAAAGCTATAGACGAGCCTAAGAACCCTAGATTTGCCGTAGAATGCACAATACTTCCACGATATAAAAAATACAACGGTCAATTGTTTACGGTGAATGTTTCAATCAAGGTTCCCAATTGATACCGTTGACCGCAGATTATAATTACACTCACACTGGCCACTACTGATTTATTGTACGCATTTCCTTCCTTGTTTCCGTTTCCTGAATTAAATATTCAAAAACGGTATCTCAACTCCATTACAAACTGTCGATTACTTTTAATTCTGTTTATTAGCTGCCAGTGTTTAAGAGTTAACAAAGATAATAGAATATTAGACATCAAGTCAACATTTTTGTAGTTCATTTCTATAATAGCATAATACAAAAAAAATCTGAATTTACAATCGGTTAATTTCAATAGAGCATAGAAGTAATACAAGATTCTTTGTTATTACTACCTATACTAATAGCCTAACCTTTTTCTATCAATATAATGGAACAGTTGGTGATGTTATCGTTTCCTTAAGGTTGAGGTCAGTGGGCACGGCACCACATTGCCCAACTAGGTTACATACTTCTTTATAACATTGAATAGTCTTGCAAAAAGATTAAATACCTTTAGTGACAAAGCATTAAACGAATGTTTTTAAACATTGAAATTATTCATGTCTAGTTAAAGCATTAATTAGTTTCTGACATCTTTTATTTTTCTTTGCGAAACATCTTTTCATTTATATTATTTGTGTTTATCTTCGTTTAGATATCTTCCGAGCAGGTTTTAAAATCTAAATGTATTTTTACAACACTAAATTAAATCGGATTATGTATTAATTAAATAAACTGATCATGTGGTTTGGCGTGTTTATTTATTGTAAAGTATAAGATATAGAAATAAATTTTAATAGGGAGAAATTGAACCGCTGCTCAAATACAAAAAACTAGAAGGAATCGAAAAAAAGGGGAGTGAGCGGGAATACTTGTATAAATATTTATTCTGTGAAAGCAGTTGTTTTAAATCGTTATAATACGAATGTTAAATTAAGTTATATGTCCATTTTACCGGAAATGTAAGGATGTATTAAATATTGTTTTAAAGATGTTAACATTTCCTAGGAATTGTATAAAATTTTGATATCGTATCAGGAAATGTACGAAGCTAAAATTTTCATCGAATTCAAGAAAACATTGTGATGCAAACTGCACATATCTGAGAAGAAATTTAAAGATATGTGTGAAGTCAATGAACCCGCACTTAGCCAGCGTAGTTGACTATGGCATAATCACACTTAACTTAGGGTAAGCTTTGAGCCCCTCGGTGGGGACGTAGCTGATGATGATGATCAATTTCGCGATTCGTATTAAAAGTTACAAAAGATGTCCTTAATCAAGAGAACTCAATGGATAAGGAAAGATAATATTTATGAATTAAAAATTTTATACAAATGAAACTGACCTGCAAACAATAGTCCCAAGAACAGTATAACTCCGCCGGCGACGAGAGCGCCCAGTCCGTCATCGGAGCCCTGCGGTGATGGAGTAGCATTCGACATTTGAACGCCGCCCGCAATCAATAGAGCCAAACCTGCGAGAAAAAAAGGTCGAAATAAATATATTTTTACAAAACAAAGTGGAAAATATAATATAAAAACTATTCTAGAAACTCTGTTAGGATTTTCTGTGAGGATTTTAGAAACATTCGATTATGTAAAATCATTTTTATTATAGCTTCAGAAAAATAAAATTGAACAGTGTTTTCTTCATGTTGAAATGTCCCGAATTTACATCAGGGTGTTTATTCAAAGTGAACGTCTCAATCTCTTTATTGAATGATTATCATATTCAAATTAATAAAGTTTAATGCATTTAGAGATAAAGTAACGAACATGATATAATACCAGATAAAAAATACCGTTTTACCTATTAAAGTATTGGGCACAGATAAAAATATAGAGCATAGCATAGGTGACGTAATAATTCGTTACTTTACGAATATTTATATCGACTTCAAATTATGTGTAGCCCTTACTAATTGGAGAACAATATACACCTTGAAAGACGTGCATTTTAAAAGAGTTTATTATTATACTAATATAAAAAAAATTAGCCTACGTGTTCTACCCGACTATGTTCTACATCTATGGCAAATTTCACCAACATCGATATAACTCTACTAGAGATATCTTCAAACAAACGACCATCCAACCATCCATCCAAACATTCGCATTTATTATATTAGTAGGATATGACATAAAATTTCATGTACAAAAAAAATATTTTGTGTTTGGTTTTTTTCTAGAGTGGTTCAAAAAAATTAAAACAAGAAGACGTCTTTTACAACTTATACCTCCGTAATTTTCCTAACCGTCTCATTTTCATTATTAAACATATAAAAACAGGAATACTAGGCCTTGACTTTTTAACTGCGGTTTAAAATAAACTAATTTGCTGCCAAATGGATCGGCCGTTAACATTTCTTGGCACGCTAATTTTAACATTGGTATACGCAAACGATAAAAAAAAATAGTAAAATCTGATGTTATGTCAGCATCTAATTTCATAATAAAATTGACTAAAACCTGTCTATAATAGTCACAAACGTAGACTAGTAATAAAAGCTGCAAAAAAAAACATTCGAGCCCTCTTATCCTAGTAACATGTCTTTATAATACCATAGTAATTCTGAAACCATTTTTATTTCACTAAATAAACATTACGAAATGAACTTTTAAAAGAACGCAACGCTGACAAATTCAAAAGGTGTATTAAAATAGTAACGAAGTGAATTTATGAATTAGTAATAGATTATACATGGTCGTATAAAATATAGGTAACACAACAATGTCATAGCATCCGCGTCACACGTTGCGCCATTTTTGTGAGTACACCCAGTGCGTAGGATGACGTTGTTAACAAACGGATCAATGCACCGCTATATTTAACCAATGCATGTGTCAGTGAACGCTGTGAAAATTGTTTTTTTTTTTAAAAAAAAAACGAAAACTAGGTCAACTGCATTGTGAATCAATAAAATTTTGTCAAACTGTTTTGATTAATTTGAGGTCCAAAGTGTAATGTACAGTTTCTTTAAAAAAATCTGTAACATATATTAAAAATTAATTATCATCAATGTTACTACAAGTCCTTTGCTTGATAGGTCTTTCCACTACGTATAATTTATAGTCTTGTGTATACGATCTTACGAGTACCATTTGACCATAATAGAAATCTAATCAAAGTTTACGTTCGGTTGTACATTAATATACTATGTAAAACACACAATAAAATATATCAACATAAAACAGATCTATGTAAAACATGGAAGTGACCGCGGGCATATTAATATTACGCACACCAGAAATAAAATGTAGGCGCCTTTGTGGTAAGGAAACCAGAGCAGGCCTTTGTTTCGTAAGAAGTAATATTACTCGGGATTTCTTATAACATATTTGTTTACTATAGCAGAAACAATAACACTACAGTACATAAGTGTGGACTGTTAAGAGGCGGAAGTATCTTTTAATACTTGATCGTCAATTACTATTATTAGCCAGATTCAATTACATAAATTTTATTTCTTACAATAGTCCCTTGGAACTAAATCGCAACTAACATTCAAATAAAATAACACTAATTCTACTGAGGTGAGCGTCGATGGTTCAGGGGTTAAGCACTTGATTTGTAATCTGCAGGTCCTGAGTTCGAATCCTGCCATGTACGAATGTGTTTTTCAATTTACATATGTACATTTATCCGACGAAATTCAAAGATATGGTTGAAGTCAACTAATCCGTATTGAATCAGCGTGGTTGACTTTGGCCTGATTCCCCTGACTTAGGGTAGGCTCTGAGCCCCTTAGTGGATATGTATGATGCTGATGACGACGATTAGCTCATTATTATACAAGAATATTCTAGAATAATGTATAAGATTCAACTTATTTATTTGAACGTTTTGAAAGTTTTAGCAACTTTGAACTGTAATCCTACTTGATATACAATATTTAATATAAGTATTAGTATAAGTAGAGCAAGGCACAATGCGTTGGCGAAGTAGGGCATCGGCGCACGAATAAATGCTTTTGGAAAGCTTGAATAAAACAAAGAGACAGCCGTTTGTGGCTTACCACCAACATAATTTATTATTCCCTCTGCTCTTATATTACGCCCAAGATGGATTTATTTTTACTTCACTTACTGGTAGTTTTTAAAAAGGCAATATTTCTCAGACCCAAGTAGATTTTGTACATTGAGAGAGGCTCGAAAAGAAGTCCAATTTGCAAAATGAATTCACAAATGCATTATTAATGATTATTCATCATCAGCTCACTATACGACTTCCCTAAGTTATCGGTGACTAGGCCATAGTAAACCACGCTGGCCAAGTGGCCTATGGCCTATTGTTTACTATGTTAGAACACACCCACCTCAACATATAAGTAAAGTAACAAGAAACAGAACAGAACTATCAAGAACTTACGTTTTTGGACACAATATACATATTACAAGAATTTAAAAACCTAATATGTATATTTGTATCAACATCCAAACAAAATGTTACAGTTAGTAACAAGCCATCTAAACATAGGTTAAGCGTATATTTATCGTATTCCGATGTCAAATTGTTCGTCACGAATGGATGACGAAAGTAGCGCCATAATTTGTGACAACGTGACTTGTCCATGTCAGGATACTGTACCACCTTTTAGCGATAGTTTAAGACTTCCTTTAATATTATAATCCGTTAGGTACATGTTACTAATAATTAACAATATCCCAGACATTTTTCCGTAGAGAAATACCAAGGCGTTAAGATTAATACGTTGACTTTCCTTATTTAGTACAACAGTTGAATGCGCTTCGTCCGCGCGGAATTAAAAAAGATCTAGTAACACAAATGGTCTAAATCACCCGATGATATTGTATCTTGCCAAAATGATTGTTTAAGAAAATGAATTTTTCACATCAGTTCACTAGTTTTGGAGCCTATTCAATGCAAACAATCCATCTTTGATTGAGTTCGTTAGTAAGTTTCGTATGAAACGGTGATAGTTAGTTGTCTGTAAATTACTTTTATATACTTTCTAAAACCGGTCATAGGATAGCATTATGACACACTCAATTATCAAGCAAATAACACATCTATAGTTTACATAAAAGTTTGTCTGAGAAATGTCCGTCAAATACGAAAGATGTTTGTTCACGATAATTTTACATCAGCTGAAACTGTTGTGCCAAAATAATATTATTTGCGATTGTAGGTAAATATATAGAAAGGACTTATTTAGCGAGATCCATCCAGCCGTTCTGGAGATACCTTCTAACTAACATCCATACATCCCAATGATATTTATATTAGTAAGATTATATTCACAAACCTACATTCAGTTTGTTGTTACCAATGAACAATTATAATTTCTTTATCTAATGACTTTCTCACTTTAGTAACATTATTAGTAAAAGTTTAAACTATATTCTAATTGGTACAATTTAAAAATGATTTAAATGTTGTAAAAGTTAAACATATGTTCATCAATTTAAAATGGAATCGTCGCAAGGCGTTAACAGAACCGATTCACCTTGAGTTGGCGGAGCGGAGGCTGACAATTTAAAATTAAAATTTATGTTCTGACACCATTCCTAATGCTACCTACCTGCATGCTTATTGACGATGTTGACTAGCCTCGATGAATTATATCATCGTTTCAAAATAGTCAATGCCTGTTAGCATTGATATAGTTAGGACGATTGATAAGCGGGAGGACTTACCGTTGATTTCTAAGACCAAAATCTCTTAATACGCCATATTGACATCCTTGTCTTTTATCTAGCACAAAACGGAGATAATATATAATATTTTAAACAGAGATTTGTTCTAAAATACCAACGGTTGAAAGTATACTTCTCCGTTTTTCCATTATTTCAGATATCGCAGAGCTTAACTTGCCTATATCTTTTATGTTTGCTTCTTTGCGAGTTTGTGATAATATCAGGTTAGCCATTACTAACGATAAAGAAGATGAAAAGACGTACAAACATGTTAAAGACAATATCGTGGGAAATGGCTTAAAAAGTATAAACGTATAACATTGATCTCTGGATACTGTTATTCTGTCTCCGATAAAGTTGTATTCCTATGAAATAATACAAAGAGGTATTCAAGGCAGCAGAGAATTTTCACTGACTTTAATTTTAGAGGTACAAAAGCTTCTATTTTTAAATATTGTAATTCTATTTTTAAACTATTATACGTAGAAAGGATACTGCGTGGAAATGCAACAGTGAGTCATTTTTACGCACATTTGATACAATGAGTTTACAGTACTTGTGTACCTTCATTATGTGTCGTTTCCTGTTTAAGTATATTTAAATATAGTATGCTAATGAGCTTTAAAAATGCAATACACGCAGGACGAGACTTAAATAAAATAATGATATAGAGGTTACGTAATGCACATGTTTATCATTTACTTACTACTTTTATTTAAATTAGTTTTATTATCTGTACCCATAGAGTTGCAAGATTTAAGAACTTAAGTCAAGATCCGAAGTCTTATAAAAAATTGCACCTTACAAAGGCATACAT